ATACGGCTTAAATATTCTGCTTGCTCATTACTGGATCTGGGTACCCATTCAGGCTCAATAGAAATGCCATGATGAATGCAAATTTTAAAAATACGCTTAGCTTCGCTTTGCAAACCAGACTTCCTGCTACCGACACTAATAATACGCGCAACATTCTGGTTGTCCGTGTGCCATTTGACACATATACCTGCAAGCTTAGGCGTAAAAGATTGCAAAACTTTTCTAACGGCCAAAATCTTCACGCACAGTGGAACTTTCCTTTGCTAAATCAGCCGACCAAACACCTTGCACGGCCACCTGGGGCCCAAGTTCAACAATGTAACCGCCATATCCAGTGTCACTAGCGTCCGAATAAGCAACTCTAACTGCACTGGATTTAAACCAAATACGACGGCCATTGAGATGATCTAAATTGGATTGCCAGAAAACTAATTCCTCCACAACCGAATCTTCCAGATAAAAATTAGAAAACCGGGAATTCTGAGCTGAAATCTGGGCGTACATGGCACGAGACATTAAACGCACAATGTTTCCAATAGCGGAAAACATAGAGTTCAACTGACCAGCAACGCTTACTAGATCCTTAGCGTTGAAAAAACGCAGAGCAAGGATACGCGAAATACTCTCCTGCAACTTCGTAATCTTCGGAAGAGGAACGGTGATGAAATTAAGACTGAGATCTACATGGAAACCAAGCCAGGTACCGACTTGAGACGGCTCCCACACTGATTTTTGAAGGTTCACAAAGAAACCCGCAGAGTTCAAATCAGACCGACATAAACGACTATGGACCAGGCAACTAGCGTAATCGGGGCTCCCGCCAATACCGTCGTCCAAAAAAGTAACAACACGACGCCCAAGACCGCGCCTGTAATTAACGAGCGAAAGCACTAATTTCCTGAAAATGTACGGCGCGGAGGACATACCAAAAGGCCAAACAGTAAAAACGAAGTATTTAACAACCGAGCCAAAATTCCAAGAAAAACCCAGATACTGGCGATGATCTGGAAAAATTTGGACGTGATGGTATCCAGATTTGAGATCAAAGGTGAAGAAAAAATAACCTGACTGAAACAAATCAAACATAGTGCGAATATCTTCGAACCGAACAGACTGCTTCCAAATAAATCTGTTTAAATACGAAAGGTCCAAAATAAGCCTGCATTTCCCACCGGACTGCTGCACAACGTGGAGAGGATTGATAAACTTTGGTGGAATAAGAACTTCCTTAACACAACCACGCTCAATTAACTCTGAAATGCCCTCATTAACAAAATCTTTAAACTTGAATGCCGAAGATCTATTGGGAATAACAAAATTCTGAGGCAAATCAAAGAAAGGAATTCTGTAGCCTTCAACAATAGTGTTAATGATAAAGTAGGAGGCGCAAATGGAATTGGACCAAAAATCAACGTGTTCCCTGAGAGAGCCAACTTTAAACAAAAAAGAAACTGAAGACTTTTCAAAATCAAAAAAATCACTTGGTTGACTTATCTGATCTTCCTGAAGAAATGAGATTGGGGAAGTTGTTTCTCCAGTGTCCTTCCGATCCACAAGGGAAGGGAAGGGAACTGAGATCTGGGCAGAAATGCGGCTTGTCGAAACTGAAAGGGCTGCAGTGGAAAGGACCTCTTCCAGCTCTTTTTTCGCCTTATCCAGCTTCTTTTTCTCAATGGCGGAGATAGCTGAATCAAATCTGGCTTCCACTGACTGGTTGAACTTGAACTGTTTCTCGTTTCCCACTTTTTTCCACTTAATGGAATTATCTTCTTTGACTCTTTTAGCGACAGAACTTAAGAACTCCTCTTGATCTTCAGAAATAGATCTCTTGAGCTCTTGTAATTTCGAATCAACACGTTCTAAGATTGCGTCTTGAGATTTCGCTAAAAGCTCGACAAGTTCCTCCTTGTTCATAGTGAATGACCCGAACGCTGGAACAGCAAGACCGAGATGAAAGACAAAACCAGCATGCCCAAATATATGCGCCTACTAATTACCCACATACCAGCGCACACGCCTAAACAAACATAAGATACCGACGAGAGCATATTTCCCTGCTAATTACCAAGTCAAACGCAGGAAAATACTATTTCATGTTTGACAAAGGTTCCTCAAGTAGAATTTTCCCTACCGCTACTTCTTCAGGTGATTCATTAAGAAGTAGTTTTAGAGCTAAATGCAACATTGCAACAGAGTTATCTAAAACATTCAAAACACATTAAAAGAGCTGAAAAGAAAAGAAATAATTCTGCCTTTTTCGTCTCAACAGGAACCTCCACAACCGCAAGATCAAGCTCTTCAGGTTACGTGTATTCAATATTACACCAAAATAATCAAAGCCATTAATCAGATTATAAACCATATGAAGGAAATAAACTTCTTTAAAATTCAAGAAAGAATAAAATATTTGTTGCGTGTCCGCAGCAAGCTCTGTTTTTCGAATAAAAAATTCACGGTACAGCAAAGTTGGCATAATTTTCCACGCAAATGACTTTTAATAGAAATGTCCAAACAGCGCTAACGTGCCCATGTGACGGTAGGCACTTCATAAGAATACATTCGACAAAGGTGGGGACAGATAATACGCCCGCTCAAGGCTGGTATCCACTAGCGACGGAGTTGGAGTCGGAGTCGTAATCGGAGTCGAAACATGGTGAAAATCAAAAATAGGAGTCGTAAGCGGAGTTATAAGCGCGACAGAATCGGAGTCAGAAGAATCACAACGTTTCCATTTCTTCCGGCTTCGTCGCTTACTTTACACTTATGATCTAGTAAAACAAGATCGTCGGAGTCGGAAGCAGAAGCGGAAGGATAAACCAATCACAATGCACGTTCCCGCTCTGTGATTGGTTTCGGTTCTTCTGCTTCTGCTTTCGACTCCTACAATCTGGTTTTCACTAGATCGTAAGCGTTACGTAAGCGACGGAGTCACAAGCGGAATTGGAACGCTGTTTTAACTAGGTCATAAGCTCTACGCTTCTGATAACGACTCCGACTCCGACTCCGTCGCTAGTGAAAACAAGCCTTAAGGTGGCCCGTTCCTATTTATATGCGTGTTGGTTATGTTTTTGATTCGCGTTTTTCACAATAAAAAACTAAACCGAATTCTACGATTTTTTGCATCCTTAATAAATAATGATGGAACTTTAAGAAAATGTTATTTATTTTCTTATAGGTATAAAAACTTTTGAGATATCGGCATTTATTTAAAACCTCATTTTTACGAAAAATGAAAATAACTTCGAAATCCCACGACAGATTTTCCTTAACTTCAGCAAATTAGCCTCAGAGCTCTCTAGTTTTATGTCTGCAAGTTTGAAGGCAATCGTGACCGTGGAAATCGCTCCACAAAATGTTGGCCAAAGTTAATGCTAAAATGATAGGCTAGCACATTTGTGAACGTAAAAGCACAAATAGCGGAAGAGAGCTGACAAACTACCTCTTAACTGGAGCGTTGTTCTTACCCAAAGCATTGTTGGAAGAAAATGAGTAATCGGACAACTACTATAAATATTTACTATAAATAATAACTATTATCCCCAAGTAGCATACTGCTCCTATGTAGCCGAAAGTTGGTTGTATTAAAGCGCTAACTGTGTTCGCCGTAGTTGTCCGACTACTCATTTCCAACAATGCGTTGGGTAAGAACGACCTTCCAGTTAAGAGGTAGTGTGTCAGCTCTCTTCCACTATTTGTTCGTTTACGTTCACAAATGTGTTAGCCTATCATTTTAGCATTAAATTTGGCCAACATTTTGTGGCGGGATTTCTACGGTCACGAATGCCTTCAAACTTGCAGACATAAAACTAGAGAGCTCTGAGGCTAATTTGCTGAAGTTAGGGAAAAATCTGTCGTTGGATTTCGAAGTTATATTCATTTTTCTTAAAAATGAGGTTTTGATTATATGCCGATATCTCAAAAATTTTTGTATCTATAAGAAAATAAATAACATTTTCTTGAAGTTCCATCATTTTTCATTAAGGATGCAAACAACTCTAGAAATCGGTTGAATCTTTTATTGTGAAAAACGCGAATCAAAAACATAACCAACACACATATAAATAGGAACGGGCCACCTTAAGTTGATTCAAAGTGAAAACAAGAACTGTAAAGACTGGAAAGAGGCAGCCGGGGTGGTGGCAGGAGCCCGGTTTACTCGAAAAGCGTTTTGGGCACGGTACCCCTAAAAATGAGCACTGGTGCCAAACTTTTTGGCCTGTCATTTGCTCGTTTATATGACAAAATTGACATTTTCTATGTTTTTTGTTTGTTTGTTTTGTTTTGTTTTGTTTTTTTTTTTTGTGGGCACTTCTGAAATCGTCATCACCACTTCTAAATTAATCAGCTTATAGATGCATTTTGTCACCATTTCAACCGCTTTGAAGAAGGCGGACGTCAGATGTGAATAGGCTTAGCTGCAAAACTCCGAGTTTCTTTTGAGATTTTTTTAGACGTTAAGAAGATTTATGAAAGGCTGGAGATATTAAGGTGAATTATTAATTAACCATGCAAGTTTTAAGAATTTTAGAACTTTTAGAGCTGAACAAATCTGTAAAATTGGTTAAAAAAAATACTTAGAGATTGAATATTTCTGCCGGCGTTAATTGTAAAGGACACATTCATAAATTAAGCTATTTGTAGTATGAATCAGTGACAGAGCAAATAGGCCCCATGACTTATTTTATGCACAGGTTTTACCATTCAGTTCTATTTAAATCCCACAATTATTGATTTCCACAAACGTCACGGAAAAAAAGAAGCTAGTTATAATGCCCATGCTAAATAACGTTGTCTACAAGAACTATTACGTGTTTTTACTGACCTTATAAGGATATTTCAGCCTCATGATATTTGTGAATTAAACGTTTAGGATTTTTCGGTAAAAGTCAGATTTTTAGGGAAAAATGAGATTTTTAGATCTCTCTTTTTTGAGATATTCAATATTCGAGATACATCCGAACTGTTAATTAGACGAAATTTTGGATGTATCGTAACCCTTTTGCTATGGCATTATAAGAGAAAAAGGAGTAAGTAAACCTGCTTACCCCCTATTTTTAGTAACATTGCTTGTAAAAAGCGCAAAATTGTTTATGCAAGCCACGCATATTCCGGATGGATTCCTTGCTTAGATCAATAAGTGCCCGTAGAATCGACACAAATCGGGATATCAGTCGATAAATCGATAAAAATCGTTAAATCTGATTTGATTAATATCGACTGTATCGATCAACCGGTAGAAATCGATGACACACTACTTTCCAGTTTATCGATTTATCTTGGTTTTTACCGATTTCATCGATTTATATCGGAAGATATATCTGTTCATCCTAAAATGAAAACTGATTTCATGCCAACAGTAAATTTGTTGACAATTGAGTTGCAGTGGAAGGATCAAACAATTATCAATAAAAAAAGAAAAAAAATCTGAAAAATCTATCTTTTCTTCAAAACCAGGTTTAAATCTCCTTCTGGTTTGTAGGCGCCCAGTTTTTCACAATTTAGACCAGCCGCCCTATATCAAAATAACGTCGCTGTGGTTCCGGGTGTAGTTACATCCCGGAGAGCAGCCATTAGATAAAAGTCGAAATCGATAAAAATCGTTAGCAATCAATTTTTCTCGATTGATAACGGAAACGGTGAAAATCTATCTAGGGAAATCCATGAATTTCAAACATCCCTTTGACTCGAGGGATGTCTGAAATTCAGGTTAGAAAATCGTTACTAACGTTGTATTTCTCGTGATACTTGACTGCGAGAACTGCATGTAATTTTACAACCGAACTGTTTTTGTTATTTTGTACAAACCGAAGAGTTTTAGAGAGAAACTTGTGTGTACAATAGTTTCCATATTTCTCATTTCCATGTTTGTTGATCAGTTGTAACTCCTGCATGTGTTTTCTCAGCTGTACTAACTCATGCCAAAAACAAAAAAACAAAAAAAACAATGGCGGACTTCCGTTATAAATCGTTAAAATCATGAAAAATCGATAATATCGATTTGACATAGCAATTCAGTCTATCGATTTCCATCGATTCCCGTTATCAGTCGATAAAAATCACTTGATTGCAACCGATTTTTATCCATACCCATTTTTATCGATTAATTACTTTGGGATAAGTGCCTTTGTTGACTCATCAGACCACGTTACTTTGCTGTCCAGTTTGCTGATGGAACTTGACGCCGTCTTGATCTCAGTGATCCACAATTCGCAGCGAGAAGCGAACATCTGAACACAGCACCGCTAAAAGCGGGCACCGGCCCACCTGTTCACATGGTCCCGTCATCCCTAAATTTTGGGTACCGGTGCCCTACGCAATTCCATTTAGATTATGAAAATTAACGATGTCCTGCCCAAAACGCTTGTCGCTTAAACAGGGCTAAAGAATTTCGAGATCTTAAGCTCTAGCTGACGTTCGCACGACTGCTAGGAGTTTAAGAAGGGATTGTTCTAAACATGTAACTTCTTTTATCCCACAAGTAACTGCCTACATCTAATTAATGACATGTCACGAGGTAGTCTCTGAGCGAGACCAAAACGCCCACGTGACTACGGTGTGCCTTGAAGTAATTGGTCTCGGTATAAATGTCAATTCCTTGACTCTCTCCTTATTGGGGCCAGTTTTGTGTATTATTTCCACAGGTTCACCGGCAGGAAATTCCACAGTCGCCCCAGCCAATTCTTCAGGTGAGGCTATAGAGCTATAAAGGGTTATTCAATAATGCATTAGAATAGATAAACAAATTAAACCTTAAAACGTGTCATAATTTGTAGCAATAACACTTTTTTGTGGCAGTGATAAGTAAATAAATAAATATTCCATAGATATAATTCATCAACAGGAATAATATGTTTAGGTATTCCGCACCGTCAGACACTTATCAGGTACGTTCGTCGTTTTGAATCGTTACGTGT